ATATATATATATGTGTGTGTGTGTGTGTGTGTGTGTATATATATATATATATATATATATATATATTGTAAGTTCTATAAGTTTCTGTTTTGTTTTCAACTGTAAACTCATTTTATTATGTGCATCATGGATTAATATTTTGAATAGAGATCAAGAAATCAGTCTAATGTAAATTTGGTCTTCATGTTAAAACTAGAAATTGATAAACACTAATTTTTTATTTCATAAAGAGAAAGTAAATTTACATGTGAAGAAAAATACAGGGAATAATATTAGTAATGACTTAAAATGGTAAAATTAATGATTTATACGCGTATAAGTAAATAAAAGTGAAAGGTTCCTAGGTTTAATAGCATTAGTGATTGATATGGTTTGTTGTAGGTTAAAAAGATGCAGGATAGGGTTGCAAAATGTAAAGATGACGTTCAGCGCACCAAGGAACGCTATGAGCAAGCTCTTCGAGAGATCAATGATTATAATGCAAAATATATGGAAGATATGACTGTTGTATTTGACAAATGTCAAGAATTTGAACAAAAGAGGTTGGATTTCTTCAAAGAGATGTTATTTGGTATTCATGCCTGTTTGAACATTTCGGAAGACCTAGAGTAAGTACTCTCTAGCATATTTTCATAATTTAGGTAATAACCTAAGTTACAGTATTGAAAAGTCTTGTTGTTTTTTTATTTTAAAAAAATTAAGTAACTGGGCAAGACCTACTGGTTAATGTGCCAGACAGTGGATCTAAAGTTCCATGTTTTGCATTCTGTTGTCACAAAATCACACTCCCCACTTTTGGGCCATATTATGAGAGTGATGGTCAAATGGACTATTCAATTAGAATAGGCCATGAGTTAACAGTGAATGCTACTTACAAACTAGCTGTCTTCCCTCTAGTCTTTCAATTCAAAATTAGGTAAGGATATTGCAGGAATATCCAATCCAAATTAATCAAACCAAAATGAAGATGTGACTAATCTGTTTCACTTTGATGAGGCAGTTTTATGAAATAGTAATGTCTTATTAAAAAAAAAAAATTATTCTCAATTTGAAAATCATAAATAAGAACGAACAAACACTTAAATATTATAATTTCCACCAATAATATGAATTCTAACACTTTTATGCATGTTTTTTAACTTCATTAAATTCTTTTCCCCTAACAATTGGTTGTACCAAGCAACAAATGGCAACATATATTTCTTTCTTGTTATGGCTTAACCCTATCGGCACTGGTACTCTTTACTGCGCATGATGCAAGGTTTTAGTGTCTTGCATTCAAAATTTTATTAAACTACTTTTTGTTTATGTTATACCAATTAGAAAAGCATAAAATCTTAGCTAATAATCCATATTTTAATAGTATACAAGTTTTAAGTTTTTAATTCTAAAAGGAAATATTTTAAAAAATCCTGAATTTCCACTAGTGTAACACACACGATACAAATGTTGCCTTAGCATGTCATCATCCCTATTTTATCCATCACCCCTCGAAAATGTAGGAAATTAAACGTAAAATGCTTTCAATAAAATCATTATTTCTCAAACAGATCATAATTTTTATGGCCTTCAATTTTGTTTTGTTACAGAGCTATCATAGAGAAAATCAGACCCCTCCTTCCACATCCACCTGTCACATCCTCTGTTTCACAGTTGGTTGATAGTTCTCTCTTATGTTTTATTATATATTATTTATAACCAATAGAAAGTCAAGGTTTTCATCTGTCAAATGGCGTATTGTATAACATTGTGTTTTGAACAGATAACCGTCAGTGTCACTCTGAGTAGCAACTTTGTTCCAATGGGAAAGTTAAGGACTAGCTTGGATGAATTTCTAACGGCTCTTGTCTCATAGCTAGAAAGCCAGAAAAATTTTAAGAAGTAAGTAAATTTGTCTACATTTTGCATGTTATTAGTCTATATTCTTTGGTGCAATATTTAAGTAAATAAAAATTGTTAAGTGCTTTACTATAATCGCTAAAAAAAATCGGGCTTGACCCTACTCGACAATCGAGAGCAAGAAAAAATAAGATTGAGTAAGTAGTTGATTTCTTGTTTTTCATATTTATTATTATAAAAGTAACTAAAATTAAAAGTACGGATCTTTTTAAGTTATTTAAGACTAGAATAGGGAAAAGAAGTAATAATAATAACATAATTAAAATTGTTCACGAAGCACGCACGCGAGCAGCTTGTTGGTAACATAATTCGATAGCGTGAGTTACAACTTATAGTGGTATGAACAGTAGTTAGACACAGTTCAAAGGGAAATAAAACAATAAAATTCAAGTATAAATAGATGTATAATGTTACGAACTTAGATCTACTTAGGATAAATAAATGTAGTTTCAGGTTACAATCTGAAGTTATACTAGAAAGAAAAGAAGGTTAATTTAGGTTTATTTCGTATTTTTTTTTTTTTTTTTTGTGGTTACGAGGTTGTTGGAATTGACCGATCCAGTTTTGAGATTAGGGCACAGAAAATAACGTATAAACTATAATGATTCAGTGAAGAAAAAAAAATGTTTGAAATGCATTTAGAAGGTTTTAGGGGTTACACAAAGGTTACAAAATTTTTAATTTTAACATGGAAATTACTTTGCACACGGACTATTGGAAAACAAATACTCAATATATTCATAGACAAATCTTTATTTTATTGAAAATACTTCACTAAACAATATGACTTTTTGTATGTCAAGTCTTGTGATATTATTCGTGAAGATATACCCAATATATTGAGTTAGAAGTATTAAATTTATGTAAACTTTAAACGAGTACAAAAGTTCACGTGACTCGGTCAAATTGACCAACTACATTTTGAGAGAGTTAAGAACATTTGACATTTCATAAGGAATTGAATTTTTGAACCTGAACAACACCTTATGCTATGAGAACTAAACAGCTAGGTGCCCTTAATTCTGGTATATCCCCCTCTGACTACAAGGAAAGTAGCCAGCCAACAGCACCCACCTCCACAACAGCTTCGTTAAACAGTGCACCAATTTTTTCTTTATTTAATATAAAGATTTATGTAAGATACACCATGTCCAAAATTAACATTTTCATCAATTGAAAATGTGTTTGCAATAATACTTACCTCCACTTACATTTATAGCCATTAGTCGACCACCAGGATTTTAACTTTGCCCATCTAAGCATTGGTCTGATTTTTTCTTGCTCCAGTCTTTTATACCCCACTCAATTGCTCTTGTGATATTTGTCTCATGATACTCTCCACCTACATCAATGCACCCTCTATCCTGGTACTGTATATAAACACCTCATTCAGATAATTTTATCACTTTTTCGAAAATGATACCATCTTAGTCTCTAACACTGGCTTTTAGTGGAGAGGAAGGGCGAGAGAATGTCAGCAGAGGTAAGTATTATTGGAAATACATTTTCAACTTAGGAAAATGCTAACTTCCAAAACATACTTACCTCTGCTGCCACTTATAGCTAGAATCTCACACCAAGTTGGTGGATGGGCCTGTGAGGGCATTATTCATACAGGAAGTATCTGCACAGATCAAGGGTGTACAAAGATGAGAGTGGTACCCAAGTGGGGGAACCACACTGCATCCAGAACAGGAATGCTCTTTACCATGAACTTAGTTCCTATACCATGGGTGGAATAGTAGATGAATAATCATCACTATAGGCCAGCTCCAACCAGAAAGCAGAGGTTTTACAACTCAGGTTTAGAATTAA